GGGGGAAGGGGGAGATGGCGCGAGCGGGGGAACGGCGGGTTGACGGAAAGGGAGAGAGAGAGAGAGAGAGAGAGAGAGAGAGAAAGGTGAAACAGAGCACGCCCTCTCGCGCACGACCCTACGCATGCATTTGCGCGAGGGGGAGGGAGAGGAAACAGGCAGGGGGCTCGGGAAGAGAGACGCCAGACGACGTCGCGATATTAATCACTGTCTACTGGCGTCAGGCAGCCTCAACCATCTTCTCTCCGTGAAGCGCGAATCTCGTGATACTCGAAAATCAGTTACTCGAGCCCGATTAAAACGACCCCACCCCTCCTTTCCTTTCGCGACTGGATTGAGATTGATTTCAATCTCGCGCGTTTTATCGAAGATACCGATTGTTGAGAGAGAATAAGAGAAAAGAATTAACCTTAATCTATTGTATTGTGTGTAATCTTTTAATTAAAGAATTATTTAATACTGAAGAGACAGAAAATTATATAAACATCCAGTTTTTTAAGATGACGGGAAATAACAATGTTATTTTCAATTAATATTCTCGGCATTAATACTTATATGTATATCTATTATAATAAATTGTCGTAACTGAATCGGTTGTTTGATAAGAAAACTATATCTAAAATTGTAAAAAAAAGGATTGAACATTTCTTTCGACTAATTTTCTATTAAGTACTTCCATGCGTATTCTGCTTATATATTATAAAAACAAAATCTTTAAGAAAAAGTATGTTCCAGGAGCTTTCTATATTTTGTCAAATATTTCTCATATACATGTTGCTTAGCTAATCTACTTCTAAAAAGAAAAAAAAGAAATTCAATTTTATTCGCGTTCGTCATTCAACATAAAAAAAGCTACTGCTCCGTAGAATCTTTGTAAAACTCGCTTCTGCAGGAAATGGCAGCAGCTATCGCGGTTATTTTATTCGTATCGCCGCGGAGATCGCGTTTGCCGTAAAAAGGATACTCCACGCACGTTGCTTGAATTGTAAAGGACCACTAACCAATGGCGCGGCGGTGAGTGAGAGGAAGCGGGGAAGATAGAAGAGAGAGAGAGAGTATCCGCAAAATCCGCCCACCGGTTCCGGCGAGCTACGAGGAAGGAATGTTATCGGGATAGGGTACGGCGGGATCAATCGGATTCTTCTGCCCGAGTCCGCTCTCGGCGTACAATGACGCGATAGAGTGTCGACGGTACCGGCTCGTTGAATCCCGGCTAGCCACGTAATGGGTATCGAGAGACATCGTTAAGCGTCGATCGCCTCTCCCAAAGTGGCCCGGCGCCTTGATTCAACCTCCCTTGCCCCCTTCGCGTCTTTCTAACCCGCCGCTTTCCCCGTCTCGCCTTCCATCTCGCGCCACGCCGGGCAAGGGTGCTGTAAGCTGTAAGGTTACGTCGGTGCTATAGATCGCGATGGAGCAGAGGAGCACGTCGAGGTGGCGGCGAAGCGGGATAAGAAGGGGGAGGAAACGAGGAAGGAGCGGAAGCGAGAGGAGAAGGTGAAAGTGGGAGAGGAGGAGGTTAAGGAAGGTAGATGCGGGGCGAAGAGGGATGGGGGATAAACCATGATGTCGTTGATTAATACGGTTTACCAGTAAGTGTAACGGAGTGTGCAGAACGTTCGCCCCCGCGCGCGTCCGCCTCCCCCTCCGCCTCCCTCCCTGCAGCTCTTGTGTCTTCTATCGGGGTGGTTGCCTCCTTTCCTCTCTCTAGCCACCACCTCCGTCTTCTTCGCCATCGCCACCACCACTATCAACCTCCAGCCGCCGTCGCCGCCGTAGAGGCACAAGAGCTACCCTCCCTTCCACCCTCGGCGGAATCCGTTGCACCAACCGGGAGCCACGTGCCGATCAATGGCGTCTTGCTGCTGGTTGGTCGAGCCGGGAACAACCCCCTCGCTCGCTTCTCCTTCTCGCCCTCCCCCGCATCACCCTTCCCTCCCCCGTCTCTTCCTACCTACCCCTCCGCGTGCTCTTTCTCTCCTTCCTTTTTACCCCGCGAAGAAGACTCGTCGCGTATCCCCGAGGAGGGTTGATCCCATAAGAGAGGGCGAGCTTTTCTTATGAGAAGCATTGATTGCCAACACCCTCTCCGCCCTCTTCACCGACTTGCGTCCCGTCGCTTCTTCTCTTTCTCCTCTTACCCTTCACCGCGTTCCGCTTCTACTCCCGAGGCTACCTCTCTTCTGTCTTTCTTTTTCCTTCGCGATGTTGCATTATTTCTTCTAACTCCTGTGTGTGTTTTTACCGGTGTTGTACTCGGCAACTCGGTCTCGGTTGTTCTCAGTTATGGTACAATTATTCGTCTATATGGGGTCAAACGAGTACTTCTCGCGATGCTAGAATGCCATTGGCGGATACGAAGATGGAAAACTTATTGCATCGAGATCAAATCACGGAATGATATCTGCGATATGTAATCCCGCGGTAACGGTAAAGTAAATTACGGAATCGAAATTTTCAGGATGGACGAAAAACTGGACGATCTCGAAGCGAAATGTATGATAACTAAGATAACTAAGTTCGAGTACTCTTTTTCGAGCTCTACGGGGTAATTGAAGTAATTATACGAGGAAATGATTTGTACACCGGATTCATGAGAGAACAAATTTATTCGATATATCGCTACCACAGTTTTGACTACATAGTGTAATCGCTACCTTATAATATACTTTTTATTAGACTATCTTTGATTAGCAATGACTATTTATCGGGAGGTAATATACAGGTCTCTACAAACAACTACATCCGTTCTCGCTTCTATGTCTCTCGCTTCGCGAAAATGCAATGAAATTACAGCATAAACGGAATTATATCTCTTTCTCGTTATCTCTCTCTCTCTCTCTCTCTCTCTCTCTCTCCCTCTCGTCAAATTCACGTATAACATTAAGTCAAATCAAATCTATACCATACACTCATCCTTACTTTCATGCGATCGTTTCTTCTTAATCTAAGAAAATTAAGAAGAAATGAGAAAGAGAGAGAGAAAGATCGATCTTATTTGATGATTACATTAATCGCTACGTTACCTGACAAAAATCTGAAATCGATCCATGTCGCCGAACATTTTCTTTTTCTTTTCTTTTTTTAAGGCATATAAGAGTAGTAGCCGACTCGAGACGAGTTTCTTCGCGTTACTTGTAGTCGGAAATTGAAACCGATATAATCGTAATGAAAACAATATGATTATAGAGAAACATCCGCAGCGATCTTGTAATTTTTTTCTTTCGGTTTAACAAGATCGAAATTTGAATTCAAGATTATACCGGTTTCAAATCCCGCTCCTATAGGAATGTTTGAATGAATGCACACACTCGAGCCTATATCCGCGTAGCTTGAACGAATCGACTGGTCGAGCATATCGAGCGATTGAATATACAGCGCATCAGGCACGTGTTGGTCCGTCGCGTCTTCTTACTCGCGTGGAAGGAAACGAAACCATTTTTTCGCAAACACTTTGCTATACATCTTCGTATAATAGCGAATTTGGTTGGATGCACTAGTACGCACTAGTACATATTTTTTTTAAATTGTACACAAATTTACAATATAAGTATAAGTAATGAAAACATTAAGATAACAGTATGAGTTATTATCATTATTCTTATTGAGCAACAATAATAATAGCTCTTAATATTAATTATTTTACTTTTTTAATTACTTTAATTATTATTTTAATTATTTTAATTTCTTATGCCATTGTAAATTTTTACACAATAATTTTTATATATCAGTGTGCACTAGTGTATCCAATTGAATTCAACTATATATGTATATATAAGTTTCGACATATTTTAAGATTGGTTCACATTATATGATACAACACGACACGATGAAAAATTCTTTTATAACAACGTATTCACATTCACATATTAAATCTGCAACGACATGTAAAGATAAATACATTTTGTATTATGGAAGAATATTTCGTCGTTGTCTTGTATAATATGAATCGATCTTATCGTGTCATTTATTCGCTCTCATTTTCTCGCCGCTGTTATTTCCATTATATACAAATCGCGACGTTTTAAATTCAACATGTCAAATCGAAATCTAGTCTCCTCTTTTCGTAGATTTTTTTTTCAGTAATTGTCTTCACTTGTAAATAACAAATTCGTCAAACTTGTTGTGTCTGGAACTCAATATTTTGCGTAACAATATTCATTGGAAGTAGTAGCGGTGATATAAATATGCTTGCATCGCAAGTTAAGGCAATAAATAAAATATCACTCAGTAGCCTAGAATAAAGATTTGGACATTATTGTTGATTATATATGTGAGAAGAACGTTTATGTCTGTGAATACATTCTCTACTGAAGATTATTGTGATAAACGTCGCCTATTTACATCTCATCCGCAATTATAACAAAGTAATTTGCAAATTGATAGTGCTGCATTATTCAACAATTTATTGCATATTTAACAAGTATTAAAATGTAATCTTATTTTTTCCCATTTTTATTAAACCGAAAAAGATAGAAAGTGTCAAAAAAAAATATCAAGAATGATAAAAAAAATTATCTCGTATATTATTTAAAAAATTTAGGCGTTAGTAATGTTTATAAAGAAAATAGTTTAGGCTTAAAAATGTTTTACAAAACTTTATAAAATCGATTCTGCCTTATAAATAAATAAAAATGGAGTTGATTGTCAAATTTGCTTCAAACGGAAACCTCATACTTCTAAAAAGCAGCGCGTCATATGATTTAAAACAAGATTTTCTATCAAGAGTGCGCAAGTTCTTAATGGCGCATCATAATTTATTTTAACAAGTTACAAAATCGAAGATAGTATGAATACAGTTTGCAATGTTTCTTGCACGAACCGTCTTATCGAGCAAAGTTACCAACTCGCGGCACTGTGGTTCGTTAAATTATCATCGCGTGCCGGAATTGAAACTCAGAAACTCGTCTATTACAACGCCGAAAAACGCAAAAAAGTTTTCTCCGTCAAAAAAAAAAAAAAAAAAAAAAAAAAAAAAAAAATACGATAAGATTCAAATATAATCATAATGAAGAAAGCACTTGTAAAGATTGAAGAGCAGTATATAATCTCAAAAAGTACAATTTTCGATGCTGAATCATTAAATCCAATGAAATCTACGGTTCGAAAGAAATTATAAATTCTACAACCAAAAAACAGAAAACAGAAAAGATCATTTCCACCAATAATATCTGCTTGGAAAAGGCATAAAGAAAAGGGATTCTCAATATTCTCGTTATGAAAATATGCATAGAGAGATCCCTGTCGCTACAGCATCGAGATTCGAACTCACCGATATCATTATACCGCTCCTGACTTTTTGTAATCATCCGATGGTTACATCTCCCCTTGACGGGATTTACGCCACGTTTACGAGACGATTTCGGCATTCGTCGAGGCGTTCCTATGGATCCTCCTTGGTAGTTGGCTGTATCTGGTGTACTACGCTGGGCAAATGATGATGATGATGGTGCTCCGGTCGCCTGGAGAGACCCAGCAGTGGCGGCAGCAGCGGCAGGGGCAGAGGCAGGGGCAGACCGCCGGGAAAACCGGCGAGACCGCCGAGGAGGGCCGAGGCGGTTGAATGTTCCTGAGCTTTTCTTCGCAACTCGGCCAGGCTGTTGCTCCGATGGAGATCACTGCCGGTGCCGGCGGTGCCTGGTTTGCAGCAACCGCAGATAGAACCGGGCCAACCGGTCGGCGACCAAGACAGCATCTCCTGGAGGCTACTCGGCCGATGCTGGTCGCTGGTGGTCCACAGAGACGGCGTCGTCGAGGTCAGCGATGTCGACGCACTGCTGACTATTTTGTTGCCGAAGAGCGGCGGCGAGAACTGGGCGGCCAGATGGGGTGAAAAGAAGAGGGACGTCGGTGGTTCCACCGGCCTAAACCCAGCGCCTATTCCCGTGGTGCTAAGAGTTTTACGAGAAAAACAGAGATTAATATAAATAAGAGAGAAATAAAAGAGAGATTAATATAACTAAGAAGAAAATTAAATTAAATTTTAAAAACATAATTTATAAAAGACGTATGATGTAGATGTTTAAAAAAGTATAAAGAACTTGACTTATTATAAATTATAATATAGATTTTTAACTATCCGCGCGTAAAGAAGATTCGCTGAGTCATGGATATTTCAAATTGTAGACGGATCATCAGTGAGGAATTAAAAATTTTAGGCAACCCAAACCTCGTTTAAAAATCTTATAATACATTGGTTTGATAGATATATGTATAGTATATTATGATTTTGATATTTATGCCTCCAATTATTAAATTCACTTTTTTTTAGAAATAACACTCAAGAAAACTACATTTACATTGTAAAAAATCATAACGGTAAAATAAGAGCACAGATAATATTGAAGAATATTATTGCAATTGTAGAATAGTATCCCTGATAACAAGAGGACTGTGTACGCAAAAAAACAGCATGTTATACGTTGAAAATTTTGGCTCTCGTTTTTAGCGTGCTGTTGTTTATACGTTTGCACATCCGTCTTGTTATTCGGTCGGGAAGATAAGCGACACAAACTGTTTCATTTATCATAACATTATTTCTCAAAATACGATTAGGATAATTAAAAAACTCCAAAAGCGATCATTCTTTAAGGGCATTTAGAGATTATTAGCCAGCACCATAAATTAATTTTTGGCGATTGATGACTCGTAAAAATACCGACTAATTGGTATTTTTCACAATATATTCATTTAGAAAATAGAAATTGAAGAGGAAGAAAATTATAAATTATTGTTTTATTAGGATATTTAGTGCCAGACGCTCTACGCGTTGTCATTTCAAAATACAATTACAAAAATATATCGGGAGACGTAATTATATATTATTACAATACAATTACAAATTATTATTACATGTATATATAAAAATAAATACTATATATATTAAAAATTTCGATAAGAGCTTAAATTTTCGACAGATAAAACAAAAATATTTCATCTCCACGATTCTATGTATTTCTAAAAAATACGATATTTATTTATTGTCCCTAAATGATATTAAATCCTTTTTTCTTTCTTACTTATTTAATTATTCTTATATTAAACGATAATAGTATAATTAAAGCCTGTTGCTTCACATGAGTACACAAAGATTTCAATCATCATGCTGGAAACGATCCTTAACTCGTCCGCGAATTAACGCTATTTCAGGCACCAGCGATTATTGCCAAAAGGACGTCGCAATTTCGCGCGATTCCAACTACCGGCGTTTCAGCGTAGAGAAAGCGAGAGACCGACAGATAGAGGCGGACAGAGATTGAGTGAGTGTGAGAGAGAGAGAGAGAGAGAAAGAGAGAGAGGAGCCAGTCTCGCAAGCGCTAATCCGATTAGCACGCGCGATGTTCCGCATCCTCCGAGAGGAGAGGAGGCTGCTTTGAGGCGCTGATGATTATCTCAAATATTAATCACAAATATTGTTTAATTAATGTAACGAGCTCGAGTCGGAGTCGGAGATCGGGGAAGGAGAGGGGTAGAAGGGAAGGACGCATGGGAGCGGGCAGGAGTTAGGGTAGACAGCCAACGGCGTTTAGGTCGTTACTGGGGAAAGGTAGCGGGGGAGGGTAGGAAAGACGTTGCAGTTCGTCGGCAGGCCAGAGTAGCGGATTTCAGATGGTTGCCTCCCGGGTAAGGGAGGCAAAGCGGCAGGAGGGGGGGGGGGGGGCGAAGAGGGGGAAAACC